ACACAACTAGCCTACAACAAGAAAATAACAAATTAAAACTACAGATCCTCGAAGCAATTTCCATTAAAAAATTGAAGCTGATACTGAATAGAATCAGCTACAAATACTGCAATAATTTTCTAAAATGCCTATAAAAACAACAGTTTTCACGTTTTAAGGCGTGCTCGACCATGACATTCCAACATAAAAAAAATTCCATAATTGATAACATTTTACGTTTTAATGAACGCTAAAGCATAACTGCCAACCTTTGCATTTAAACGCAAACGAAAAAAAATCAGTAATGGATAACTACACATAATTTTGCCTTACAAGTTGCACCCCTGATGATAATCTCAGAAACAAATGGAGAGTGATTTTCACTTTTACAATACATTTCTTGCCTCATATGATTGTAATATACAGAAAATTAATCGTGAATATGAAAGGATTATGATAAAAATAAGCAAACATAATGTTTGTAATTTATTCAATTATATATATGTGTGTGTGTGTATATATATGTGTTCGTGCGTATATATATTAAAATATATGTGTATATATATATATATATATATATATATATATATATAAGTATATATATATATATATATATATCTATATATATATATTTGTGTATATATATATATATATATATATATATGTGCGTGTATATATGTGTATATATATGTGTGTGTGTATATATGTATATATTGATGCATGTTTCATTAAATAATATAGACAAGTGTTGTCTATTTATTTTATGTAAACTATTTTCATATCGTCTGATAAGCTTAATAACATTATCATTAAAAGATGACAGAAAATCACCATATTGATACATATTTTTTAATCCCATCTAAGCTTTCGGCTTACATAAGCCATTATCAAAGATGACAATTACATTACAACATATTAACCAATGCACGGACAAAACAATAATGATAGTTTGTTTTTTGTTTGCATGGAAGATTTCCAAGCAACGACAACCTCGTTTCATACGAGACTCTGGGAGTGAAAATCGCACCGCAGCTCGTGACGTCACATATGACCACGCGAGAGTGAAAACGAGAAGTATTAAGTATGGGAAACCGTTGGTATAAACCAATGGCTTATGTTATCAATTATATGCATTTAAGAATATTTGTGGAGATTTCGTAATTTATTTTGTTCAGATTAGGTTTCAACTGTTTCATGTATATAGCTTCAAGAATTTTTAGTTTTTGTTTATTATTTTCATATGTTTGTGTGTTTATGTGCATGTGTATATGTGTATATATATTTTAGTTTATTGTTTTCATGTATATATATGTGTATATATGTATATATATATATATATATATATATATATATATATGTGTATATATGTGTGTTTATATATATATATATATATATATATATGTGTGTGTGTGTGTGTGTGTGTGTGTGTGTGTGTATACATGTCTATATACAGTACTGTGCAAAAAATTGATTCAGCAATAATTTTTCAATTATTTTTGACTTTAAATACAAATAAAATTTGTATTTATTTTTTTCAATTAAACAATTCATATTATTAGTAAAATCGAAGAAAATTATTCGGAAATATCATTTTTTGAAAAAATAAATGACAAAATACCAATTTTTGAGTATTTAACAAGTGTTCTACTCTGCAAAAAAAGAGTCTTATGAAAAATGAGTCACCTTGTAATTTCATTTCCATAATTCTATTCCAGAATATTCTTAATTCTAGAAAGTTCTAGAATTATTTTAAAGTATATTAATGAAACCAAAAATATAATTATTTAGTGATTTGTTACGAAAAGGTAGAAGCACAGATTGCAATCTGTTAAAGTAGCAATAATTGATCAAAAGCAGGAAATCGACTCGAGAATTTGTAACTCGTGTCAACACTTCTCAGTCAACTGTCTCGAGGGATTTGAGAAGCTTCAATTCCACTGAAACATTTGTCAGGGTGTAGAAAACCCAAGATCGATGAGGGAACCGGTCGCAATTTTTTTTCAGTAGAAAAATTAACCAAAACTGGTACAGAAATTGCTGCTACCTTGGAAAATGATCTCGAAGTAAGTGTCAATTCCTCCATTGTACGCAGATGGCTCTTGAAGTAATGCTACAAAGCCCATTCAAAAGTTTTTAAACCACTGCTAAATAAAACAAATAAGTCTAAACGTTTAGCATGGGCAAACACTTACAAGTTCCTGACTGAGTCTGATTGGAAATATGTTCTTTTCTCCGACGAGAAAAAATATTGAAATGTTTTCAAAAGACATGAACGTAAATCAGATGGAGGAGCCAAAAAAAAAACCTTTGAAAATGACACTTAATACTGTGAAGCATCCTTTCAATTTTATGGTTTGAGGTTCCTCCTCATTCAATGGGATTGTATTTTTCAAACCAGCAGGCAAAACGCTGAACAGCACTCAATACTCAAAAATATTGGACACTTTCTTGCTGCCATCTGCCGAAAAACTCGAAATTGCTCAATCAATCAATCAATCAATATATATATATATATATTTAA